GTGGTGTTGGGTTGTGGGTGGGGGGTGTTGGGGGGGGGGGGTGGGTGGTTTGTGTGTGTATGGGGGGTTGTGGGGGTATAGGTTGTGTTTTGGGGGTGTGTGGGTTTGGGTGGGGTGGGGGTGGGGGGGGGGGTGGGGTTGTTGTTGGGGGGGGGGGTGGGTTGTTGGTGTGTGTTGGGGGGTGTGTGGGTGTTGTTTATAATATATCTATGGGGGGGGGGGGAGTTGTGGGGGGGTTGGTGGGTTTGTGGTGGGTTTTGGGGGGGGGGGGGGGGTGTTGGGGTGGGGTGGGTTTTGGTGGGGGTGGGTTGTTGTTGGTGGGGGTGGGGGTTTGGGGGGGGGGGGGGTGTGGGTGTGGTGGTTGGGGGGGGGGTTGGGGGGGGGGGGGGTGGGTTGTGTGTGTTGTGTGGTTGTGGGTTGGGTTGGGTTGGGGGGTGGGTTGTTTTGGTTGGGTTGGTTTTTGGTGTTGGTTTTTTGTGGGGGGTGGTGTGTGTGTGTTGTTTGTTGGTTGTTGGTTGGGGGTTTGTGTGGGGTGGGGAGGGGGGGGTGTGGGGGGTGGGTGTGTGGGTGTGGTGGGGTGGGTTGGGGTGTTGTTGGGGGGGTGGGGGGGTGGGGGGGTTGGGGGGGGGTGAGGTGTGTGGGGGGGGGGTGGTGTAGGGGGGGGGGTGGGTGGGGGGGGGTGGTGGGGTGGGGGTGGGGGTGGGGGTGTGTGGTGTGAGGGGGGGGGGGGGGGGTGAGTGGGGTTTGGTGTGTGTGTGTGGGGGTTGTGGTTTGTGTTGGTTTGGGTGGGGGGGTGGGGTGTTTTGGTGTGGGGATGAGGTTGTAAAGGGGGGATATTGTTTGTGTTTTTGTGGTTTTGTGTGGGAAAGTTTATGTTTTGAGAGGGTGTTTATATTGAAATTTTTGTTATTGGGGTTTAAGGGATGGGGTGGGTAGAGGGCGGGTTTTGGAGGTGTGTTTGTTTGTGTAGGTAGGTAGGTAGGTAGGTAGGTATGTTGGGAAAGGGAGAGGTTGTGTGTGATGGGGTGTTGGGGTGGTGTGTGTGGGTGTGTGTTTGGGGGGGGGTTGGGGGTGGGTTTTTTGGTTGTTTGGGGGGTGGGGGGGTTGGGTTGGGGTGTTGGGGTTGGGGGGGGGGGTGGGTGTGTTGGTGGTTTGGTGGTTTTGGTTGTGGGGGTTGTGGGGGGGGGGTTGTGGTGGGGGGGGGGTGTTGGGGGGGGGGTGGGGTTGGTTTGGTTGGGGTGTTTGTTGTTTTGGGGTGGTTGGTTTGGGTGTTGGTGGTGGGTGGTGGGTTGTTGGGGGTTTGTGGGGTTGGTGTGTTTGTGGTGTTTGTTTTGGGGGGGGTGGGGTGTTGGTGTGGTTGGGGTTGGTGTGTTTTGGGGGTTGTTGGGGGGTTTTGGGTGTTGGGGTTGGGGGGGGTTGTTGGGGTGGGGTGGGGGTGGGGGGTTGGGGGGGGTTGGGGGTTGGGGTGGGTTGTGGTGTGTTGGTTGGGGTGGAGTTTTGGGGGTTTGGGGGTGTGTGTGGTGGGTTGGTTGGGGGGTTGGGTTTGGATTGGGGGGTGTTGTTGGTGGGGGTGGGGGGGGTTGTGTTGTGTTGTTGGTGGTTTTGTAGTGTTTTTTTGTATGGTTTTGGTGGGTTTTGGTGTTGGGTTTGGGGAGGGGGGGTTGTTTTTTTTGGGTTGAGGGTGGGGTTGGGATGAGTAATTTGGATTTTTGTTTTAGTTTTGGATGAAGTGAATAGAGGGATGGGGGTTGGGGGTGATGTATTAGTATAAAGGGGGTGAATTTGGAAGAATGATAAGTTAGGTTTGGGTTTTATGAATTAGGGTTTTAGAATGAAAAATAATGTATTGGGGAGAGGGGATTATTGGGGAAGAGGATGTTTGGAGATTTAGGAGAGGTTTTGGGTGAGGATTAGGGTGATTGAGGGAGGGGGAGGGATTGGATTTGTGAGTGGGGGTTGTAGGTAGGAGTATATTAGATAGATAGGATAGATAGATAGTTAAGTAGGGTTATGGTGATGTAGATAGTAGTGGAGGGTTTGATTTGGGTGAGATTGTTTAATAAGTGAAATAAACGAGATGGATTCTGCTCATCCTTCCTCGTCAGGGGGTGGTGGTGTGTGGTTGGGGATGTTGTGTTTGGGGTGGTTGGTTGTGGTGTGGTGGTGGGTGTGGTGTGTGTTTGGGGTGGGTTTTGTGTTTGGGGGTTTGGGTGTTGGGTTTGGTGGGGTGTGGGGGTGGGGGGGGGGTTGGTTGAGGGGGGGGGGGGTTTGGGGGGTGGTGGGGGTTGGGGGGGGGGGGGGGGGGGGTGGGGGGGTTGGGGGGGTGTGGTGGGGGGGGGTGTGGTGGTGTTGGTTGTGGGGGGGGGGGGTGTGGGGGGGGGGGGGGGGGGTTTGTGGTGGGGTGGTTTGGGGGGGTGGGGGGGGGTGGGGGGGGTGGGTATATGATGTTGTGGGGGGGGGGGGGGGGGGGGGGGGGGGGGTGGGGGGGGGGGTGGTGGTTGGTGTTGGGGTGTGGGGTGGGGGGGGGGGGGGGGGGGGTGGTGGGGGTGGGGGGGGGGGGTGGGGGTGGGGGGTGTGGTGGGGTTTGTGGAGGGGGGGGGGGGGGGGGGGGTGGGGGGTTGGGTGGGGGGGGGGGGGGGGGGGGGGGGGGTGGTGGGTGTGGGGGGGTGGGTGGTGGGGGGGGTGGGGGGGGGGGGGGTGGGGGGGGGGGGGGGGGGGGGGGGGGTTGGGGGTGGTGTTGGGGGGGGGTGGTGGGTGGGGGGGGGGTGGGGGGGGTGTGGGGGGGTGGTGTTGGTGGTTGGGGTGGTGTGTTGGTGGGGGGGGGTGTGTTGTTGTTGTTTGTTTTTTTGTTTGGTGTTTGTGGTGGGTTGTTGTGGTTTTGTTGTGTTGGTGGGGTTGTTGTGGGGGTTATTGGGGTAGTATGATTGTTGGTTAATTGAAGTATTGAAGATGTTTGGGGGTATATGATGGAATGTGTGGAGGGGGGGTGGGGTGGTTTATATATAGGAGGGGTGATATGTAGAGTGTAGATGTTTGGGTGATAGATTTGTTTGAAGTTTAAAATGGTTAGGGGGGTGATTTTATTCCAAATTGTTAATGGCTCTGTGGCATGATCTTGATATAAAGAACATGAATAAATATCTGTTATGAAAGTTGATATAAAAAAAAACACAAAAGTAAAGTAAAGAGTTAATTTCTTTAGAGAGTAACGAAGTAAATATCAGCTAGTTGTGAAAAGAAGTACCAAACACTCTCATTCTAACCCTCCATGCACTACCAACCATTCACACGCACACACTCACACAAACACACACACACACATGGCATTGTGGTGAAGTTCCTTGAAAACATCATTCGACTTAACAGTCAACCAACCCACTGTGTATAATAGTATAAATAATACAAGGGTATCATGTACATTATATACTGAGACAAGAGTCTCAGTATACTGTACATGTCACAACATGTAGCAGAACCCGTGACCTGTCTTTCTTCCCCCCCAGGATTGGGGAAATGGGGGATGGGAGGGAGGGGGTGGGGTAAGGAAGGGACATGTGTAGGTGGGGTTAGTGTAGTAGGTGGGAGGTTGTATTATGGGTATGTGGTGGTGGATGGTTGAAAAGGGGATATATTTGGATTATGGTAGGATAGTGGGGGTGGAAGAGGGTGGTGGTGAAGTGAGGATTGGAAGAGAAGGTAGGATTATGGGTAGAAGTTGGGGTATATGGTTTGTTGGTTTTAGATTTTGGATTGAGGTTGTGTGATTGATGGGGGGGGGAAGATATAAAAGGTGGATTATGTATATGGGGTGTTTTTGGGGTTGTTGTTGGGGGGGGGGTTTGGGTTTTGTTTATGTAGTAAATGTTGTTGTTGTATTATGGGGTTTTGTTGAGTTGGGTTGGAGGATTAAGTTGTTTTGGTTTTGGGTGGTGTGGGTTATGGTTGGGGGTTGGTGGATAGTTGGTTTTTGGGAATGTTACACATACACAAAGTGAGGGGGGTTGGGGGGGGGGGGTGAGTGGGGGTTGGGTGGGGGTGGGGTTGGGGGGGGGTTGGGGGGGGGGGGGGGGGGGGGGGGGTGGGGGGTGTGGGGTGGGGTGTTTGGGTGGGTGGGGGTGGTTGGGGGTTGGTTGGGGGGTGGGGTTGTGTTGTTTGGGTGGTATTGGAGAGTGTGGGGGTGGGGTTTTTGTGGGTGGGGGGGGGGGGGGTGGGGGTGGTGTGGGTTTGGGTTTTGTGGGTTTTGGTGTGGGTTTGGGGGGGGTGGGATGGGGAAGGATATGTTGTTTTAATATATATTTTTTGATATTAAATATTGGTTTTTTTTTATGGGTTTTTTTTGTTTTGTGGGGGGGGGTTTGTGGGGGGGGGGGGGGTTATGGGGGTTTTTTGTTTTTGTTGGTGGGTGGTTTGGTGGTGTGGGGGGGGGGGGTGGTGTGTGGGTGGTGGGGTTTTGGTGGGGTTGTGGTGTGGTGTGTGGTAGGGGGTGTGGTAGGTGGGGTGGTGGTTGTGGGTTAGAGTGGTTGGGTGTGTGTTGTTGGTGGGGTGGGGGGGTTGTTGGTTGGTGTTTGGGGGTTTGGTTGGTGGGTTGGGGGGTGGGGGGTTTGTTTTGTTTTGGGTGTGGGGTTGTTTGTGTGGGTGGGTGGGGTGGGTGGTTTGTTGTGTGGGTGGGGGTTGGTGGTGTTGTTGTGGGTGTGGTGGGTTGTGTGTGGGTGTTGTGGGGGGTGGTGGGGTTGGTGTGGGGGGGGTTGTGTTGGGGGTGGGGGTTTTGGGTGTTTGGTGGTTGGATTGTGGATTGGGGTTGTTGTGGTGTGGTGGGGGGGGGGTGTATGGTTTATGGTGGGTGGGTGTGTGTGGTGTTTGGGGGTGGTGTGTTGTTGTGGTTTGGTTGTTGTTGGTGTGTTTGGGGTGGTATTGTGGGGGGGTTGGTGTGTGGGTGTGTTGTGTTTGAGATTTTTGTGTTGTGTTTGGTTGGGTGGGGTTTTGAGGTAGAAGGTTGTTAGAATTTAGTTGTGTAGGTTTTATGTGGGGGGGGGTGAATGTATTTATAGGTAAAAGAGTGTAAAAGATGATATGAAATTTAGAATATTGGAGGTGGGAAAAGAAAGGGGGAGAGTTGTATGAGGAAAGGAGGGAATGAATTGAGAGGGTGAATTTGATAGAGGAGGAATAAATATTAGGTGAGAGTGAGTGAGGTAAATGTAGGGACATTGATTCTGTAGTAGTTAAGAAAGTTGGGGATCCCAGCTATATTTTGGATGAAGTATGTAAATAAATGATGTTAATGTTGATTGTCAAAAAAGATTGGAAGGGTTAAAAGGATAGGGTTAGTTTGATAGATAGTGAACATAGTTTAAAAATTTAAAAGCCACAGTTAAACGTTTTTAAACACCATTAGGGAATAGAAGTTTTGAATTAGTATGTTTTTGAAACCCAAAGATTAGTACCCAAAAGCTTTGCTTTTCTTTTTAATCTGCTGCTTATTTTGTGAGTCCATTATTGTATCTCTGATATATTTCATAGCTGTTTGTGAGAATGTTTTCATGTATTTTTTATTTTAGTTACAGAAAAAGCCGTTTTTCAAACATTTAAATTAGAATCTGTTAAAAGTGATTAATGATTGTAGACTTCGTCTAAAAAAGAAAGAGAGAATTAGGCTGTAAAAGTATTATATTATTAAGTTAAACTACCCAATTCACCCAATTCACATTCAAGCGGTGACTTTTGTTTTTGTTTTGACTACACGCGTGACCTTGCTGCTGCTCAGAGACATGAGGAGGCAGCTCCGACGCACAATTGAGTTTTATTGAACCAAATCCAGTGTAGCTGGAGCTAAATCTTTTGTTTGATTTCAAGTTTTGTTTTAAATGTTTTTACAAATTAATGTTCATTTTTATAGAGATTTTTCATAATTTCATTTCATGGCGTCTTTCAAGAAACCCAAGGACGCATAGATAATTAATCACACAGTACAAAAGTATATAATACATGTTTTAAAGTTTTAAAAGGTTGTTTTTTTGAGTATAATTGTTGTTTTGATAACTTCTTTAGTTTCTGGTTTTAAAATGTCATCATTAGTAAGATAATAAGTAATCTTTATTTACATAGCGCTTGGGAAAACCCAGAGCGCTCAAATTGTTTTGACTTCAGAGAGAAAAACAATCTCATTCGCATACTGATATCTATTGTTTTTTTAAATTGGCTGTTTCAAGGATTGTTTTTCAGACTCTGGCACACTGTGGGAGGGGTCACTGCTGGACACTGGACAGCGCAAAGCCCACCCAGCCACAGGTCACAGATCAAAGAGCAAAGGAAAATGCCACCTCCTTGCCCCTCCCCACGCCACTGCAGAAGTAAGTGGGAGTGAGACCGGGGCCATGAAAGAGAGGTATCTGGAGACGTGATGGTGGAGCATCAGGGAAAGACCTGAATGAGAGTTGAGAGTGTGTCCAGTTGGGTTACATCACCACAGTGTGACCTTTGACACCTACAGGTGGTTCGAGGAGTCTTGAGAAACAACCCCAAAATTCACATACACACACACACACATACACACATTCATACACTCACACATTCACATTTACATATAGATACATGAAAAAGCAGAACATGAGGAAAAAGCATTTTAAAAGTTTACTCCAATGTAAACAAACATTTTTAATTGTCTATTACTTGAATCTTTAGTTGAATCAGTATTTTTTGAGACCAGAAATGTTCATTTGAATTTATTGTCATGGACTAATTGACCTCTGTCCTGACACTTTTGATTTGTTGATTTTGTACTGTGTGAAGTAATTACATTGATTAGAATTAGATCTGATAAAAACACAAATTAGAGAAGTAAACTGCGCTTGCTTTTGTCTGAGAGACATTAGCAACAGCATGAATAGAAATTGTGTTAAAGTAGAATCAAAGTGACTTAACCATAGAGAGTAACTATTGCATAACAAGCTGTGTACAGGAACTGAGACACTGCACCATTGACCAGAAGTGCATCCCAAGTGACCTGATGTGCTTCAAGTGAAAAGACTGTATCTGGAGATCTGATGTCCAACTGGAGAGACCAGAGCCATGGCTTGGACCCTACTGATGTCCAAGATGACATCTCTCGAAATATGACCTGACCTGATGACGACTGAGACTCACCCTCAGAGGACCCTGAGGACCTGAGGATCTGAGAGAGAGAAAACTGGGGAGTGATGTTTATATTATTGAAATAATGCCATTGATGAGTGCTAAATGAGAGAGATACTCATGATTCTTTCTTTTGTTTTTGTTTGTCCCTAGCTTCTGGACATCTGATGATCTATTGGACACAGCCATTTGCGGAACAAGAACCAGCCAATGAAAACGTCTATTGCTGATGCTATTGCTACAACCAGAAACTGTGACAAATGCAATATACATGTTAAGTATTCAGACATCTGACAGACAAAAACTTTGAAAATGATAAAGTATGAGTATTGTAGCGTTTTAGTAGATGTTAAATAGTAGTAAAAAAGTAGAATTTTACTTCCTTTGTTGTTCATAAACATATTTCCACGTAAGAGTTAAAATAGTACCCTACAATGTTATCCTTTTGATAGATCAGCTATAATATTAGAATCAGAATAATGTTACAGCCATTGAAAGTGACAGAAGTCACAAATTAGGAATATGCCTTTGCTCAAACTGCAGCCAAACTTTGGAGTCACAATAGTGTAGAAATAGGATTAGATAAATGCATCAACCATAGATTCTTTCAAAAATAGAGAATATTTCCAGCCAGTGCTAATATCAAATGGTAGAGGGACCATTTCACAAGCATTTACTTCAAAAGTAGATAAAGTTACTTACAGTTTTATTAGATACTTGCCAAATTCACTTGTGTTCAAACATGAGTGAATGTTGACAATACAAAAAGTTCATATGAGTGTAGCCTAGATTAATGCCTAGATCAATGAAATAGATTAGAACCAACAGAGATTCAAAAGCATTTAAAAGCATTTAAAAGCATTTTGATGTATTTGGGTGTAGCACAAAAACACAATAGTAGATATTTGGATATCTTTGAGAAGTTTCCAGCACAAACACCATTGTAGAATAACTGACCCCAACCCCAAACATGCTCAAATAGATTAGCTCTTGTAAGGATAATACTAATTTGATTAAAGATGTACATTCATCCCAACCTGCCTGACAATAATATCTTTAGATAATAAAAAGTAATAAATCACTGACCACTATAGAAGTGTAAATGTTGACCATTTGCCTTACTGTGTTCACAGTTTTATTCCTGAGAATGAGAATAGAGATGGAGCAAAATCCCACTGATAATATGCCACTGATAATGAGAGTGTAAAACTACAGAGAGATTTATTAGATTAAAATGTATGTTTAAGAATATGGCTCAATAGAAGCAAATATGCAAACATATTTGTAAATAGATTAGAATAGTTTTAAACTATAGTGAATAGAGAGTAAAGTACACAGTCTAAGATTAAAAAGTGAAAATAATACAGTGAAATAAGTGAAGTGTAGTGTAAACAATTAGCATTAGAATAAAAGTATAGAGTAATAAAAGTGAAATTAGCTTCAAATTTGAGACTCAGCTCGTTTTTGTCTGTGTTTTGACTGAATCTGCTGAGTTCTACTGTGTCCAATAGTTTTTGTTTGTTTTTTATTTTTGTTTGTTTTTATTTTTGATTTGTTTGTTTGTTTTTGTTTGTTTGTTTTTTCCCAGGATAGAGGATAAAATCCACTGATATTGATTTGATGATTATGAGTTTAATGCATACATTTTCTTTGTTTTTAATAATTTTTTGAAGTTTTTTTTGGAATTTTTTTTTTCTTTTTCCACTTTATTGATTGATCGATTTGAGTGATCACATGTGATTATGTGATCAAAGGGGAGGGTATTAGTATTAGATAGCAATATGGCCTACGTGCAGGACTCTACAAGGACTCTACAAGGACTCCATGTTATGACTATGATTTGACTGTCTCTTTGTGACACGTATGTCTTTCGATGTGTGACGTGACAATGACTATATAAACTGTGTACTGCCTTTATTCTGTCTGAGGGAAAGAAACAGAGTAAACTAGTGGAACTTGAGAGAAACTTAAATAAACTTCCAGAGTTTGGCACACCACGATCCGTCTCTGTCTGTTAAATCCTAACAAAGTGGAACAAAATTTATTGGATAATTTAAACTTTTTTAACAAATAAAAAACTGAAAAGTGGGGAGTGCAATATTACTCGGCCCCCTTGCACTAATACTCTGTAGCGCCACCTTTTGCTGCAATTACAGCTGCAAGTCGCTTGGGGTATGTCTCTATCAGTTTTGCACATCGAGAGACTGGAATTCTTTCCCATTCTTCCTTGCAAAACAGCTCGAGCTCAGTGAGGTTGGATGGAGAGCGTTTGTGAACAGCAGTCTTCAGCTCTTTCCACAGATTCTCGATTGGATTCAGGTCTGGACTTTGACTTGGCCATTCTAACACCTGGATACGTCTATTTGTGAACCATTCCATTGTAGATTTGGCTTTATGTTTTGGATCATTGTCCTGTTGGAAGATAAATCTCCGTCCCAGTCTCAGGTCTTTTGCAGACTCCAACAGGTTTTCTTCCAGAATGGTCCTGTATTTGGCTCCATCCATCTTCCCATCAATTTCGCCATCTTCCCTGTCCCTGCTGAAGAAAAGCAAGCCCAAACCATGATGCTGCCACCACCATGTTTGACAGTGGGGATGGTGTGTTCAGGGTGATGGGCGGTGTTGCTTTTACGCGAAACATATTGTTTTGCATTGTGGCCAAAAAGTTCGATTTTGGTTTCATCTGACCAGAGCACCTTCTTCCACATGTTTGGTGTGTCTCCCAGGTGGCTTGTGGCAAACTTTAAACGAGACTTTTTATGGATATCTTTGAGAAATGGCTTTCTTCTTGCCACTCTTCCATAAAGGTCAGATTTGTGCAGTGCACGACTGATTGTTGTCCTATGGACAGACTCTCCCACCTCAGCTG